AGCGCACTGAGTGGAGTGGGCGGGAGCGCTGGCCAAGGCGGGAGGGGGCTGGGGCGGGCGGACAGGGGTAGACGGCCTCTTCCACCAACCCTCCCTTCCCGGAGCCCCCCCACCCCTCGCTCACCTTAAAACCATCGTGCATCACCATGGCGAGTTGCTCCTTCGCTCGAGACCAAGTGACAAGGAGACTGAGAACTGCAGCAGCGGCTACAGCTACAGCTCTAGCTGCAGTGGCGACCACCCCACTTCTTTCCTCGGGAACCCCAACCGCACTCATTGGGACCGGGTCTTCTTGTCCGGGAGCCATGTGGCTCTCCACGGCCACTGGCTCCCGGTCACACTCCGAGTCCGATGAAGAGGACCTCCCCGTCGGCGATGAAGTCTGCAAACGCGGCTACCTGCGGAAGCAGAAGCATGGGCACAGGCGCTACTTCGTACTCAAACTAGAGACCGCCGACGCCCCAGCTCGGCTGGAATACTACGAAAATGCCAGGAAGTTCCGGCACAGTGTCCGCGCTGCGGCGGCTGCAGCAGCGGCGGCCGCCTCGGGCACCGCGGCTCCGGCTCTCATCCCACCGCGGCGCGTGATCACCCTGTACCAGTGCTTTTCGGTGAGCCAGCGAGCCGACGCAAGGTACCGACACCTCATCGCTCTTTTCACCCAAGATGAGTACTTCGCTATGGTGGCCGAAAACGAGTCAGAGCAAGAGAGCTGGTACTTGCTGCTCAGCCGCCTCATCCTCGAGAGCAAGCGCCGCCGCTGCGGCACACCCTGCGCACAGCTGGAGGGAGAGCCGGCCTCGCTGGGGGCGGTAGCGGCGGCGGAGCCACCCTTCTACAAAGATGTGTGGCAGGTAGTAGTCAAACCCAGGGGGCTGGGGCATAGAAAAGAGCTGAGCGGCGTGTTCCGGCTCTGTCTTACCGACGAGGAGGTTGTATTTGTGAGGCTGAATACCGAAGTGGCCAGCGTGGTCGTCCAGCTCCTGAGCATCCGTCGCTGTGGGCACTCTGAGCAGTATTTCTTCTTGGAAGTCGGTAGGTCCACCGTCATCGGTCCGGGGGAGCTCTGGATGCAGGTCGATGACTGTGTGGTGGCCCAAAACATGCATGAGCTCTTTTTGAAGAAGATGAGAGCCTTATGTGCAGACGAATACCGCGCCCGCTGCCGAAGCTACAGCATCAGCATCGGGGCCCACCTGTTAACCCTGCTGTCCACTAGGAGGCACCTGGACATGCTGCCGCTGGAGCCCGGCGGCTGGCTCAGAAGGTCCCGCTTTGAGCAGTTTTGCCACCTCAAGGCCATCGGTGACGGGGAGGACGAGATGCTCCTTACCAGGCACTCCGTACCACCCAGAGAGCCTGTTCCCCACTCCAGGAGAGGAAGACTGCACCTGCCCAGAGAGCGCAGGTCCAGGAGAGCGATTTCAGTGCCAGCCAGCTTTTTCCGACGCCTAGCACCCAGCCCAGTGCATGCTCAGCAGCCTGCAGAAACCCCCAGCAACAGAGCTTGCGGGTTTTCTGAAGCATCTAGTTCCGGTTCTGGCAACTCTGCAGAAGAAGGCAACTGTCAAGGCCAGGAGGGTCAGGAAGGAAGCCCAGGTGACTACATGCCCATGAACAATTGGGGCTCAGGAAATGGCTGGGGCTCAGGAGGTGGCCAGGGCTCAAGTGGCCAAGGCTCCAGTAGCCAGAGCTCAGGAGGAAACCAGTGCTCAGGCACAGGGAAGGGCTTCCGAGGTGGCCACGGCTCCAGTGGTGGCCAGGGTTCAAGCAGCCAGGGCTCAGGGGCCGAGGGTGCAGGAGGACACCAGTGTTCAGGAGATGGCCAGGGCCCTGCAGGTGGGCATGGTTCAGGCAGTGGCCAGGGAGCTAGTGGTGGGCACGGCTCAGGTAGTGGCCAAGGACCAGGAGATGGCCATAGCTCAGGTGGTGGTAAGAACTCTGGAGGGAGCAAAGGCTCAGGAAGTGGGAAAGACTCTGATCGCAATGGTGAAAGGGCAAAATCTCTGAAGAGAAGATCCTACTTTGGCAAATTAATTCAAAGCAAACAACAGCAACTGCCACCACCTCCACCACCTCCACCTCCACCAGCACCAGCTGGAGCAACTGGTGGAAAAGGGAAGTCTGGGGGAAGATTCCGGCTTTATTTTTGTGCTGACAGAGCAGCCACAAAAGAGCACAAAGAAGCCAAAGAAGTCAAAGATGCAGAGACCCTGGAAGGTGCAGCTTGGGGTCCCCAAAGAGCTTTTGATGAAGACGAGGATGACCCATACATGCCAATGAGACCAGGGGTGGCTGCCCCTCTGGAAAGCTCCAGTGATTATATGCCAATGGCTCCTCAAAATGTTTCTGCTTCAATAAAGTGCCACTCTCGATCCCCTTTTGAAGATTCAAGAGGGTACATGATGATGTTTCCTAGAGTAACCCCACCACCTGCCCCAGTTCCTCCAAAAGCATCTGATCCTGATAAAAAGGATGACTGTAAGGACAATGACAGTGACAGTGATTACATGTTTATGGCTCCTGGAGCCGGTGCAATTCCAAAACCACCCCAAAATCCTCAGGGAGGCTCTTCCTCCAAAAGTTGGAGCTCCTACTTCTCTCTGCCAAATCCTTTTCGGAGCTACCCATTGGGACAGAGTGACCACAGTGAGTATGTACCAATGTTATCTGGAAAACTCCTGGGGAAGGGCCTAGACAAAGAAGCAGTGTCAATCAGGGGACCCAAATATTCAGCTTCAACGCCTTCAGTTGAGGGCTTTGAAGCTGCCCTCCAGTCGTTCTCAAAGCCTGGAGATGAGGATTCACCTTCAAAGCCTTTAGATGATGGGTCCCCCAAGGACAAGGCTAAGAGACCTAACCGACATTTTTTTATTACAAAAGGAAATAAAATCGAGGCAAAACCCCAAAAGTCCACACATGAACAGAAAGAGGCTGACAGCTCTAGTGACTACATCAACTTTGACTTCACTAAAAGAAGTAGCAATACACCAGCCCCCTTTATTCAAGGACTGCCACATTTGTCTGGCATAATTGCTAACCCCAGACAGTCACCCTTTTCTCATTACATGAATATTGAGTTCAGAGTGCCATTTCGAAATGCAGGAAACATCCTCTCAAATATTTTAAGAGCTATTCCAGGTGCCAACCGCTTCTTTCTGGACGGTGCTAGGTGGCCACTTCTGCCTCTTCTTACCTGTGCTACAGGTAGCAATGCTCATGAGGAAGGGTGTGAGTACATTGAAGTGATGTTCAACCCAGCAATGACACCAGCCTTGTCTTTTGGTGACCGTGCCATTCGCTATGATGCTGAAACAGGTCGAATCTATGTGGTCGACCCATTTTCTGAGTGCTGTATGAACACTTCTCTCTACCCCAGCCACTGCTCCGAACCACCACCTGTAGCTAGGCTGCTGCAGGAAGAAGAACTGGAGAGAAGACGCCCACAAAGCTTTTCGCAAAGTATCTTTGAATCCGCCAGAGCTGCTGTCTCGGCTTTCCCAACCGACAGCCTGGAGAGAGACCTCTCTGCCTCCTTAGGCTCTGCCGCAGCGGTGGTCCCAGCGCCCACCTTACCCGTGGGTCCGGCTCTAGCCGCCGCCTCCACCCTCCCCGCGACCCCCGGCATGGGCGCAGCCGCCTTGGGCTTCGAGGCTGCCCCTGGATTTAACTCTGCCTCCGTCCGCTGGTTCCAACCTGTAGCTAATGCTGCTGGTGCCGAAGCGGTAAGGGGTGCCCGGGTCGATGCTGGTGGTTCGAACCCTAGATCCAGAAACCCATCTGCAGACCTTGCCAGAGATGAGAACGGGGCTAACAGGGCTGCTTTTGCAGCTGCCGCTCCCCCACTACCACCTCGCCACTGGTTGCCGAGACTCCCCGCGCGAGAAGATTCTGACGAAGATGACCCGTACGTGAGAATGGACTTTGCCAGACCTGAGGACAAGAAGTTCGACTCTCCCCCAAAAGGTTGGTAATTTTAGAATTAATTTCTCTAAAATTAATGGTTATTGCTTAATGAATCGATGCGCTACTATGTCTAAAGTCTTAGGGAAACTAAATCATTAGTTTAAATTGTTGAAATTTCACTTCAGTGTTAATCCAACGACAAAATAAAAATATATTTGTAAAGTGCTTTAAAGTTCCAAAGTGAGTTAATATTTCATTAGCTGGTGCCTATTTAGCATGGAAAATAGAATTCAGTTTTAATTGTGTATGGAATACGTTGTGACGTTTGTAAAAACATAAGTTTTAATCCAATCATCATTTCTTGATCTGAAAAGAAGCGATTATCACTTAAGGATATATAGCATGAGGATGCTTTCAAATATCTTTCCCTAACACAATGATTTATGCAAACAGGACATCTTGGATTGAATCCCATGAACTCATTTTCAAATCAACAAGTAAAAGGTGTTTTTCTATAAATGCCCATTGTTAATTACAGGAATTTTAATAAGAGCACAGAATATTAAACAATAACTGTTAGTATTTAGGAGAGGATGACTTTCTTTTCTGAAAGTTACTTTTAAAAGGAGCAGTCACCCTTATGTTAGTTTGCTGTGATTTACCAAGAAGGTTAAATCTCAGTTGTTACCATGAATGTCTGGAAGGAACAAAGCATAAATAATCCAAAACAACAGATGACTAAAAGAAGATAGCATTTGGCTTTGGAATGTGTTTTTTTTCTGTTGATTTGTTTTGTTTTTACACACAGGACAAATTGCCAGAAACTATGAGTTTTCTTTTTCTCTGTCACTAGTAGTGACAGGCAAGTCACCTTCCCTGTGCCTCATTTTCTTTATGTATCTTTCCCCAAAGAGGGTATCGTGGCAACTTGATAATAGGTATGAATATTGTTCCAAAGGTTTAAAAAGCATTTAAAACATCTAATTGGTGTGTCTTCTGGGAAATCCAGGAGAGCAAGATAATAAGGCTGGAGAAAGACCTGACCTTAGGGGTGGCCTACCCTGCAACAATGGAAGATTTTTAAAGGATTCCTTTACCAAAGGAAGAAATAAGGAAGAGTAGGAGCTGTCAGAGTTGAACAGAAGACTGAGTAAATCTACTGTGTACATTATGGAACATTGTTATCAGTGTGTCAGGAAACATTCTCAAGAAATGATTTCAGAAGGTGATGTTTCCATAGTCTCAAGTACCTTCCCTTTTTAATAGAATGTGTTTTCCCTAGTGAAGGAAAGGGATGGATCCCAGCAGTTTTCATTCCAGTAGTCAGTTTAGTGAAGATTTTTGCTTTGCTTGCTTTCTGGAATGCTTTTGTGATTGGATATCTGCCCACTGTGCTTGATCAGGCAGAACAAGTCGTGGACTGATCACAACATTCACCTCACAAGCTTCCTATTTAGTGCAAGTGTTGCCCACCCCTCCCTTTTCTCCCCCTGCTTTAGAAAACTTGCCATACAAAAACTCACATTTTCAGCACGGACACATTAAAGAGTGAACATTAAATGGACAAAAGGATGTTTTAATGTGTCAAAGGATTCCATTCAGATCTCCTTTAAATTGTGAACTCCCCCCAACACACGTGCACACACATATACATGATCATCACTACTACTTGAACCATGCATTTAAAATATATAATTCTATTTCCAAGAATTGAATTCATAATCAGCTTTTCAGGAACATATCTATTTTATTCTATAAAGTACACTGAAAAATTGATCTCAGTGTATTGTTTGATCCTAACTGCTGAAGACACCCTTAATGATATTGATGTAGGTCTTCCATAGCTGCCTGTATCCTTGTGGTATCTTGGAAAGGACAAGTTTTCATAGAGGTTTGTCTATACTTTCCAACACTTTTTGTTTCAGCAAAGATTAAAATTAGTGAAATCTTGTTCCTTAAATAAACCCTCACTTTCCAATGATTATCCAGGTTCTATTATCATTATTTTAGCTTAAGTTACTGATTTATAAAAAGCTTCGATTGACTTTGCAGCTATTAAAAAAATTTAATGTTCTCTATATGTATTGTTCATTGAGGAAAGTCCTAACTTTATTGAGTGACTACAGCAAAGAGGGTGTATTTCACAGGGAATACAGGGCTTAGGTTGAAACAAGAGAATGTATGTGGAAGCACTTTGGAACTTTAAAGCACTTTACAACTATATTTTTATTTTGTCTTTGGATTAACACTGAAGTGACATTTCGACAACTGAAACTAATGATTTAGTTTCTTGCAAAAATGGTTGATCCTGAGGATAATTCAAAAACATAATTAAGCTATATAAAAAGAAGGATATGTAAAAAGAACTCACTGCAGGAATTGACTTGCTACCATTTTAATGTAAATCGATATGGTAGAGTATGAAGTGTTAAGAACAAGCTGGTTAATTTTGATTTGTTTTGACTATAAAGAAATAGAATAATTCACCCATTTTTGCTCTCTCTTCACCTTCCTATCAAATATTAAAACTATATTTCATGTTAGAAAACAAAAATATATACTTTGACAAAGGAATAAAAGCACAGTGTTTATTAGCAGTTATGTCTCTCAAAGGTGATTTTAATTTATGGCAAGTGCTTAAAATAGTACCTGGCATATAGTAAGTGTTGTACATGAATTATTATACAACTCATCATTGTGGTTACTTTTATTACATTTAGAAACACAAAACGAAATTAAAATTCTCTGTTCTCAAAACCTACCTTTCAGTTAGTCTTTACTTTCATTTAAAGTTGTCTATATGGTTGTTCAGAGTTGGGATCTTTATAGTTGGAATCTGTTTAGAGCGTAAGTTAAATGAAGTAAGACTATAAGGCAGTGAGATAGCTTTGTTCATGTAACACAAAATTAATATATAATCTCATTTTTCCACAGTCACATTGCGTATATGTAAGTACTTTAAAGCCAATTGTTCAAAAGAAGCAGCCAGAAATATAACATGGACTTGACCATTTTATAAATAAAATAATTTTAAAAGTATGAAGTGTTCACATTTTGTATAAGCATTAACATTTAGGAGGAGAATGTAGTTTCTTACATGGTTTAGTCTAACTCTTGACCCACATGTGCATTTTTGCCTTTTATTGCTGTATCTGGTGTAGAATTTGAAATGAGTTAAGGTGAAAAATTCACTGATTTTTTTTTTTCCATTCTAGAGATAGGTGGATAAAGCAGCTGTAGGAGGAGTGAAAGAATTGGTCAGCTAAAGTAGCAGTGTTACAATAGCACTTGGTATTCAAAAGGAAGAAAAATTGTAATAATTATCTTTTGAAATTTTAGACACTGTTATTAACACAAAGGAAGTGTAAGCTTCTTTTCAGTGCACTACTGCCAGATGCTCTTGTCATAAATTATAGGCACTGAGAACAAACTGTTTTTGTCATATTGGACTTATTATAAATTACTAGAGTAAATTCTCCATAGAGCAGAGATATCTCAGTCACCATTGATGGGTCACTTACTTTAGGCAACATTCACCCCTCCCCCCAAAAAAAAAGAATTAGTTGTTTGTTGTAGAGGTATTTGACCTATAGCAATTACAGAGGAATTCATTCAACTAAAGTTAACTAAAGTTATTGGCAATCATTATCATTTGCATTCATTCTAAGAGTGATACTTCCAGGGTAAAAATGTGAGCCACTAGCAAAATACCTTATTTAAATAAGGACTAGGACTTTAATTGAGCACGGCAGAATATCAAACATGCATAAAAACTCAAACAAGATTTCTTGACTTTTTTCCTTTCTTTAATTGCCAAACTAAAATACTTGCGTCACTGATAAGGAACTGTCGTGGGAACAAACCCAGGCTTCTTAGAGTGACTCCCAATTTTTGTGTTGGAATAGATGAGAACAAGCAGTACAGGGAGAAAAATGGAAAATTGTGTGTGGTTTAAAAGGGACTGTTGTTAAATTGTCAAATTTTGATTGAGGGAATGCTTAGTGCCTTATAATTTGCAAAGTGCATTCACATTCATTATTTTACTGGAGAATAGTAGGTACTGGAACTGAAGCCCGTGGTAAGAATTTTCCTATGGTCAAAGAGGTAAGTAGCAGAGCTGAAAATGAGACCCATACATCTGATTTCAAGCCCATGGGTCCACACAGCACATCACACTACCCTTCAACCAGATGTTCAATCTGTTCTTTTCCTATTGATGAAAGAATATTATATAGTCAAGGATTGGGGAAAATTTTCTTGAATTTGGAAGTTGCAAATTTTTGGTAAGTAATTTATTCAGAGCATTATAACTGTGAACCATCTACCAGAGCTTGAGTAATTTTCATTACATTGAACTGTTGTTGACCATGTCTTAGAATAAAATAATTTGACCTGTACTGAAATTCATTGTTTTAAATCTGGTCTGAATAGGAGTTTGCTAATCTTTACCTCTAAAACACAAATAGTGCATGTATATTTGGATCCCATGGAAACATTGAATGGAAGAAAAGTGAAATGAGGATGCATTCAGTAAATTTCCATTAATGGACATTTCCTTAACTGAGGTTGGGTATCTATGGTTGTCCTAATAATTTATTGACATTGCCAGTTATAACAAAAGTTTCTTAATTTTATTTTTCCATATGTATAAAATCTGATATTCTAATCAGGGTTGTCAAAACAGAGTAAAGTGAGACAGGTGGAAGAAAAAGCACTGCAGAAATATATGTTCTTTATTTGTTTAAAAAGTAACTTTGCTTTTGGCAGCCAGGCAAGTAGATTTTAGAAGCCTTGGAAATCGAATCCTCTCTTTGGGACATAAAATTCCTTGTTTAATATTAAATTCATTTTGTTTAGCACCTTTTTAATGCTTTAAGACTATGTAAAAATAACCCAGACATTTTATTGGCAGTATTGGAAAGTAGCTTTTGTAAAATGCTTAATTAAAGCTTACAGTATGTTTTGGCTAAGAGGTGCTACCGGGTTTTTAGATGGTGAGGATCATTTACTGGAAAACATTGCTTGGTCCTGAGTGAGAAATGAGAGATTTAAAAAGTCACCTTTATAATAATGAAATTAATATATTACAACACACACAGTTTTTACCACACTATTAGATTGTTGATTTTAAATCTATTGATAAAATTTCCAAGATAATGTGCTTGCCATATGAACTTAAAATATATTCTCTAGCAATTCTGCACTGGTTATTGGTTATGCAGTTATAGGTTTTACTTTCAGCAATGTAGGCTGAACATGAAAAATAGGAATTTTTAAAGATTTTTAAAAATATAGACACATATCCCACTTTAGATTTGCCTTCTTTTAAAGAGTACGTTACAATTTCTGGCTGAAGACTTAATTCCTTTTAGAATTAATGGAAAATATGTACTTAGATACTTTATAAAATGAGAAAAGTGCTATTTCCCCCTAACTTCCTGACATCCCTTTCTTATTGGTAAGGGTTGCATTGGTTATATTATGTCTTAACCTCATGTGCCTTTGTTGAACTTGTGTCCCTAATTTCAGTATAATATGCCCCCTCCTACTCTCTCTCTGGCTAAAAGTATAATGACCAATCTGAGAGTCCCACAGGGCCCATAGAAGACTCATTCCCCCAGATACTGCTTGCTTTTAGTTCACAGCCTGCTTAGGCTTAGCTTGCAGGAACAACCTTCTTTGCAAGGCTCCTTGTTCTGCAGGTTCAAGGCTGTGCTGCGTGCTCTACTCTCAGTTGCTGGCACCGAGGCAGGTGGTCCAGTGTTTAAAGCTATTTTCGTGGTTGGACCGATCACAATATGTTTGATGCTAGTCAGACCCTCTGGTTTTACTGAATATTTAATTCCACATAAATTGTAGTCACTTTAGCTAGTTTTCACAATTTATATAATTTATATAATTTGCTTCTGTGTGATTACTAATTTTCTACTTTGTAGACTCTATCTCTATGAGACTCTGAAGTCTCTCTCTCTATGAAGTCTATGAAGTCTCTATCTCTATGAAGTCTCCATCTCATAGAGATTATAAAGTCTCTATCTCTAAATTTACCTCGAAAATTATTCACATGTGCACCCAAGGTGTTTGAGAGTCTGACCAATGAGTGCTTTTTCATAAGTTGTGCCTTCAGCCTTGAAGGCATAACAACACCGCCCTCACCCTCAGAGCCCCAACCCTGACCCATGAAGGAGTCCTTATTGTGGCTGAAGTTCTTACCATAGTTTTCTTTCACTGCTACTTTGCCCCAAATTATTCCAGCAGCGTGAGTTTTGGGGACACTATTCCTATTGTCATGGCCAGAAGATATATTTCCTGGAGTCCCAAACTGAAACTTCATATATGTCCTTCGACAGAAATGATATTATAAGTGCTGGTTGGGCATAGTCAAAGTAGTTCCTCTTGTTAGTCCAGGAACTGCATAGGTTTAATATAGGTATATGTAGATGAACCTCTGAGCCTACCCACCATTTGTTTATAACATTGTTCCATTGGATAATTTATTCTGAATTTCAACTAAACAATGAGGTTTGGAATATGTCTCCTTTGTAAATTGGAGGCTGCCTATATTAGAATTCTAGTAACTTGCATTAAGTCTGCAGTAACTAGGCAGCAGAGTGAAGTAGCCCAAGTGTGTGTTGGGAGGTAGTGAAAACCTGACCTGGGATGAAAATCCTGTAGCTGATCCCCAACTAGTTTGTATCTAATCAAGACTGGAGTGAACATGCATACATGGTCCAGGGCCTGCTACTGAAGGGCAGGTGTGAAACAATTGTGATGATCTCTGAGGAGATGGAAGTTTACAAGTGCCATCCATTTCCCTTACAAATTCTTTTGATGAATCTGTCATAAAACTATTGTCACCATGGGGAGAAGCATATTTGATGTTCTGATCTATTAAGGAGACAATAGCCTGGTATGATTGGTATTGGAAAGACTAGCAGCAATTATTGCTAGTATTCACTCTTGAAAGGCAGCATTTAAGTTTTTACCAAGTCTTAGAGAATCATCCTCCTATCCATTTATTTACAAAGCACAGAAAAGTGTGATGTGATGTTCTTATTTGGAAAAAGGAAGCTATATATAAGCCAGAGGCAACACTGAACTAATAATATCATTATAACTATCATTATACGTTTATATTTGGGGTATATGCTTCAATTTTTCTTCATTTCCTTCCACTTATTTGCCTTCAAACACTTTGATTGTCCCTGTTTGTGTGATCACCAGTGTTTGCAATGATAGCATGTGGACTAATAAACAGTGAGGAACTTCAGAAGGACTTGAAAAATATTTTTTGAGTTCTAGGCAAATTTGAGTTGAAAAGATAACTAAGGCAACTAGATTGGGAGGAGTGGAAGGAAGGTATATTGTTAGTTTTGGTTTTCTATGGGCAGGGGAACCATTGTTGTTTTGGACTTCAAGCTAATAGAGGCGTGTTTATGATTCATATAAAGAGGTCTGGAATGCCCTGGAAAAACTGCCTTCTTGGCTTGCTTTACAAATTTCCAGGGATATTGAAGTCATGTGTGCTTTATTAGTATATTAAAAATTAATGTTCAGGTTTATATCATTATACAAACTGAAATATAAAAGTTTACTTCATTTGTTTTTGAGAAGATAATGATATCTGCCAAGTTTTGGGGGCAGACGTAGGAAAATGTTTTGACCATTCAGAGTCCATTGAGGTTTTCTCTCCTACAGAGAAGAATTACTTGAAGAGTATACATCCTATTAAAAGGGATGCAATTAACTGGTCATTAAAAAGAGCTTTGGTTAACCAAAAAGTAAGAATACCAATAAGGTCATTATTTATAACCTGTCAATATCAAGTAGAAATAACACATAAAAAACAGGCGAGATTATTAAAAGCATCAACATTTACCTATCAAGTGGTGAAATGATATAAAAATGAACAGAAGGCAGAACTAAGATGTGCTTGTCAGCCTTTTGATATTCATTTTGCAGACTGTTCCTGAATTGCTTACCTTTGCCACCTAACAAGCTTCTGAGTTACTTCCTTACTCTGTTATTTGGAATGTGAACAGGGAATGTAAACTTATTTAAATATTGGTCTAAGTAAAACAGTATTATAAAGGTAAAACTGTGGCTCAAGTTTCTGTAATGCATTTGAGAAGCAAATTAAATTACTTTTGGATTATCTAGTTTTGGATAGCATTATTCCTTTCTACTATCATGGTTAACTAAGAGTTGACAAATATATTTTGTAAAGTATACTTGAAATCACACCATAATTTGCTAGATTTTAGTATGTTATCAAGCATTCACTCAATTCTGGTTTAGGTGTTATTGGAAAGCAATTGAAATACCAATCAAATTTTTAGTAGAGCCTCCATCATTTAAAAATAATAAAGAAGAAAGAAAAACAACTCTGATAACAAATGTCCCTAATTTCAAGACTGGTATAATGTTGATGGGGTAGTTATATGGAGCTTAATTTGTATATTCCTGGAAAAAAATATGAAATGTAGTGTATTATATTGGTTAGTGAGAAATCCCCTTTAAAGCACATGCATTGTGCTATATATGTGAATATATCATTTATATTAAAAAAAATAGCAAGCAAAATTAGGTGAGATACCTTTGTAATCTTAAATTTCTGTTAAAAACATATAGCTGATAATATCTGCAAAATTCTGTGATGCTAGTCTAGTCTAATTTTGCAGCAGATAATTGAGTTAACTTATGGCTATCACAGACACCTTTCCTCCTGTAAACTTGATTGATACATAGAGTCTACAATTTCCCAAGTCCATTGCTGACAGGAAAGATTACTATCTTTACAAATCTAGGGTATTTTTTTTAAATGTTTTAATGTGGAGGAATGGCTCTTTACAGTGAATTATGACTAATAACCACAAGTAAGTGGGAGGGAAATGGAGACCTTTGATGCTACATCTAGCTGTAACATCTGATGAAAAAAATGAATAGTTAAAATGTATTCTGTTGGTTTAATAAAAGATCTTGTACTCAAAGCGTACTCTCGGGAATGCTTTCCATGGATTCTGTTAGGTTGGCTGTAATGAAATAGAATACTTGGTACTTTGATGTAACCTGATCTTAAAGTAACACTAGCATCCCATAATAAATTTGCTGACCATTTATCCCCATCTTTTCTCCGGTTCAGTGCTTTCTTCAGTGTACCCTATCCCCTTCCTCTGCCCCACTCCTAATTATGCACCCTCTCAATAAATAGAAGTCAAAGAGAGTAATAACAGAACTTCTTTTTATTAGGTGATTTCTAGAAAATCTTTGAAGGTATGAATTTGCTCTTTCAGAAGAAATTCAGTGATCTAGTCTAGATACAATAACCAAGGCTGTGCTAAAATTCTTTGACATGTGCTACATAATCTGGTGAAGGCATAATCAAGCATGTAGGATAAGAAAAAAATTATCTTTGCCCAATGCCTGGCTCACTTGCTGGCCCAACTGAAAGGAAATAGAACAGTGCATGCATGCATGTACAAAGTTGCTAGCTACCAGAAGTATAGGAGTGGCAGCAAAACTAGTAACTGCCCTTTTGTCTTTGCTGGAATTGTGTTGGTGTTTGTCACAGGCAGTCAGTAGAGTAAGGTAAGTCCATGCCAAGATATTCTCCTCAATATGGCTCTGAAAAACTGCTAGTTCAATTTTCATTTTGTTTTGTTTTGGAACAGGGTGGAGTGAAAATGCTTCATATTTTAATTCTGCAACTACCTTTTGTTTTGTCATCTTTTTTTCTAGAGTGATAACATCACCACAAAAACACATTTTAGAAGAAAAGTGATGTTTATGGAGTTTCATCTTTGTCTACTCCAGATCTGCCTAAAAGAAAGAAAATTCAGAGGCTTCTGAATAGAAAGCAACCTGAATTTCTAAAAGCCTACAAGTGGATGCTGGCAGTTGAATGATCATAACACAGATAATTCTTACTGCTGCAGTATGGATCCAGTGATTTTTGAATTTTTGTACTTTGTTTTTGTTTTCTGGTTTCCTTCCCCAATCTGTCTCTTTTAAAGGAAACGAATACTGTAAGAGTAAACATCTTACAACTCTTTCCCCCTCTTTACAAAAACATTATTTACATATGTATACATGTGGCCAATATCAATTTTACTGATGTATAATGCTTAGATTTAGTTTTGAAGTTGAACATTTTTTAAATGAGAGCAGATAAAGAAAAGTTGTGTTCATAAAATGGTAGGTATGATCTGGATTTTTTTTTTCTTTCTACGTAGTACATAGGGAAAACATTTCTTGATCAAAGAATTAAATGTCAACTAAACTCTTATCTTGATGAGACATTTCCAATATTTTAAAGGCAGTACCAAAGGGCAGATTATTTCAGTTTTTGCCCATTAGCAAAAATGCAACATTCTATCTACATTAAATGTCAACTAAACTGATATCCTGGTTTAGCATTTCCAACATTGTAAAGGCAGAACTGGGGAACAGATTATTTCTTTGTTCACTTACAACATTGTGACGTTCTGCTTGCAAACTAATTGAGCATTTCCAAAGCCATATATTTTTTTTCTATTTTGAAACCTACACTTCCTCCCTAAAATAAGCAAAGTTCTTCAAAAGGCTCCTGACAAAGCCCCTCTCTGACTGTCTGGACCTCCCCATTTTTCACCCTCCATTCTCCTCCTCTTCCTGGCTCTTTGCCACACACTCTCCCTCTTATGCCCAGGGCTCCTATAAGTAGATCAGTTTCCCATATTCAAGAAATTAATGTGTACGTATCAAACAATATTCTTACTTAAACTTAAGTCAAAAAGAGCCTCTTATAAGGCCTTGTTTCTCTTTGAACAATTGACCTATTAAGATGTATCAAATTAAAAAAATCAGAGCAAGTGTCCTCCTTCTGTTTTTGCTTGCCTCTGATAGAAACTGAATTCAGATTTTAGGAACCTGGACCTTTGAGAACAGGACACTAACAGGTGGTGATCACAGAGGATAGGTACAAAGGTCTTGAAGCTTCCTTAGAGCTTTGTTAGGTGGTAGCATGCAATTCATGACTTGTACCATTGCTGGCAAACCTAATCATCCCACAGGTGAGTATGAGTTTCTGTAGTAGTGTAGGAGTGCTAGTGTGTGTGAGCACGTTTGTGTGTATGTACACACTTGTGTACCTGTATACATGTGATTGTAGATGTACCTATTGTTTGTAACTCTGTTAAAACAATTGCTTTGCATTTAACATGCAACTTTGAAGTAGTGTAATATTTTCTTGAAGTTTTTTGCCACTTGGTTTTGATGTCATTGAATATGTACTTCTATCTTCAAGCAGGCTTATAGTACATGTTGCTAAACTAACTTTTCTGAAGAGCTGAGTTGACTTCTGTTATCTTCCCTTGCCTACCAACCAAAGGGATGGAGGGGGGCAGCTTTTTTTATTTTTCTTGTGAATGGCACTGAGGAGAGGATATGGCTGCAGTACCAATCACTACTCTAGTTACTGGTCACTGCTAAGACAATTTCCTCAGTTCCTTCAGACTCTTCTCTTTTTCCAACCTAATCAAATAATGCAGAGTGGCTTTTGTTTGTTATGATAGCAACACAGTCTTTTAGGCAGTCGTTTTTCAAGCCTTCAGTCAACATTTTATTTTCAAGTAAGTGAAGTCATAATCGTTCAGAATTGTAGAAAGAAAGATCATTTTGGGGGAAATGCTATACCGCTTTATTTGCATATTAGGTCCAGGGGCTGCCAGCAGACAGAGTGCTGCACAAATGTAAAACTTGCTGAATAAATGAATGGGAAACCTCACACACAACAGTACATACAAATAGAAACAGGTAGAAATAGTCACAGGGACAGCATAACAAATATGCAATCTTTCAGACACTACTTCTTAGTTTACAGACACAACTAATTTATTCAGTATTGTGCTGGAAGAATCTTTTCAGAATACGTGTACAAGCATATCACTTACCTTCCAGCTACAAGTTTATGCTGCTAAGAAAAATCAATGATGGAACGATTTTTTTGTGACCTCTACATTTAATTTGGTATCAAACATAGTCACTTGGTCAGTAAAACTTAAAACTTTACACTTCCAATAATTAATTTCATTTGCTATTTCTGCTTCACAGATCTGCTTTGAGTTGCTTTGGCTTTGTCTTCCTTTGTAAATACTCTTATATTCTCTTCTCTTTGTAAACACCTTGTTTGCAGTTTTGGGAGACATTGCAACTCTGTATAGTGTTTATATATATGTCAGACTTGCCTTTCCATAGAGCTACTTGCAATAAATGTGTTCATGAAATTTATTTGTGTATAGACTCATTTTTTTCTTAATAGTGTTTTCTCTATTTTGTTATGTATATTTTCTGCTTTGCGGTGGGACTGCATTTTTTTCAAAATAAAGCAATTTGGATAATTTAGTGTTTGGGTTAAAGTCACTATGCCTCCAAACAAAGCTTTTTAATAGAGTTAACACATTAATTTTTGATACTCTAAAAGTGGACGTGACACTAACAGAATTTACCTGATTTTTTTGGTCAATCATAATGTATGAATCTTGTTTTGAAATGATTATGAGGTTAAGGCAATCATTTACAATTTTCTTTTGTTTCCTTCCCTTGCCACTTACTCTTTATATAACTCCTTTTTCATTTACTTATTTTTAACCACAGGGAAGGCAAATATGAGTATGTGGAAAATATGCCAATGAACAGAAAACATTTTTGCATTCATAGAATATAGAAAGATGGATGAATTAGATATCAAGAATATATTAGTAAATTATATTGTCAGCCTTATCAAAAACCAAAGTTTTAAAGGAATGTTAGAAAAATAATTGCCTCGAGATTTTTTCTTTACCACCCTTGCCATACAGAAAGAAAGTGAAAATAAATATAACCTTGTCACCAATGCTCGCCCTATGATCAGTGGGTGGTGGGAAGGGATCTGTGGAGTGAGGAGGGCCACAGGGAAGGGAGGCACTAACTATATCATGTGCACAATCCAGAAGCTACATGGAGTGTGTATTTGCAGACCATTGAGCTTATTGTGTAGTTTAACCTTATTTGATGCACTCAAGAAGTTGTGTGTAAAATAATATCACAATGGGAAGGTGTAATTAAACTGTCTTTATCATGAAAAACTGTGCACAACCACAGAGATCATTTAAAATCTCTATATATGTATATCTATATGTATCTATATCTATCTATATCTAAACCATCTATATCATCTCTATCTCTATCATCTCTATTTCTATCTCTCTCTATCATCTCTCTCTCTCTATCATCTCTATCTCTATCATCTCTATCTCTATCTCTATCATCTCTATCTCTATCTCTATCATCTCTATCTCTATCTCTATCTCTATCATCTATCTCTATCTCTATCATCTCTATCTCTATCTCTATCATCTCTATTATCTCTATCTCTCTATCTCTATCTCTATCATCTCTATCTCTATCTATCTTTACCATCTCTATCTCTATCTCTATCATCTATCTCTATCTATATATCTATACACACACAGTTGATTCATGAACAACATGGGTTAGGGACAGCAACCTCCATTAAGTTGAAAATGCATGTATACTCCCCCAAAATTTAACTACTGTTGACCAGAAGCCTTACCAATAACAAACCACTAACATACCTTTTGTATGTTATGTATTTTATATTGTATTCTTATAATAAATCAAGAGAAAAGAAAATATCATTAAGAAAATCATAAGGAAGAGAAAATTATAGTATTTATTGAATAAGTTTATGTATTTTTGGATACATGGACCCATCCAGTTCAAACCCATGTTGTTCAACGGTAAGCTGCTTCAAGGGAGGCAATCTTTATTTGTCAGGACATAGTCCAAATATATTATATTCATCCCAAACGGCCCCTCAAGGACAGAGAGGCACATCTATGCTTATCAGTTTATGTGATCTTTTTATACTTATTTGATGATTCTCATCTTAATGGGATTTGAATTCCTGGAACAGCACAGGTAGTGTGGCTGCTTCAACAATCAGCAGATTCACTAGCTGGAAAGATCAACATTGAAGAGTACATGAAGACTTTCAGCTTCTCCACTGCTCTAGTGTCATACATAGCAACCATGCGCTCACAATAGAATGTTGAGGGGTACTGTTTCTTTAAAGCACAAAACCTATACAGAAGATTTGTCAGGTAAAACATGCCTAAGTATACACTAGTTAAGCACCTCCAGTGACTGCTTAGAAAAACATTACTAGCTGCCAATTGACCACAAAGGGTGTCTTGCAAAATCGCCAAAATGCTTTTATTAAAAATGTTTTGGCCCTGCCGGCATGGCTCAGTGATTGAGAGTCTGTCTACGAACCAGGAGGTCACAGTTCGATTCCAGTCAAGGCATATGCCTGGGTTGCAGGTTCGATCCCCAGTAGGGGGCGTGCAGGAGGTAGCCAATTGATGATTCTCATCACTGATGTTACTATCTCCCCTTTTCCCTTCCTCTCTCTAAAATCAATAAAAACATATTTTAAAAAAAAAGTTTTGAAAACAAAACTGCCCAAAGGCAGAACTGGAAAAATATGAGTATGAAAATTTGTGTAGGTAAGCCAGATCAGGGATCCTAATTTATAAAATATACAAAAGAGAAATTATGCAAAATTAATGCACAGAATGAAGTTGAATTGTATTCTGCTTTAGAAAAATGAATTCACTTTCCTTCCAAGACATGCATGTTCTTGGATGCTGATTTTCAGACAGCAACCTTGTGTCCCAGTTTGCTGCTTTAGTGTACTTTAGAGATAAGAAATACAGCTAATCTGTACAAAATAAGGCAACTTCTCTTCTGTCTCTTGTGCATGATAAATGCTAAAGCAATTAGGAAACCATGTCGCATGCTACACTGCAATGTGTCAGTAACATCAGTGCTGTGCTATATAAAGGGGGGAAAGTTATTTAGAATAAAGTCCTGAATATTTAGGGGGAGACCACTTGTTCAACTTAATATTCAGCATTTGTGTCCATAGAACTGAACTAGAAGCAATCTCCTCCTTGACTTTCTAATCTCAGAATATACATTATAAGGTCTTATATTTCACTGGCAATAATCTGAATTAGCATTTCAATAAAAAGAGCAAGGAAATATTGAAATGAAAAGTAGATTATGTGTCTTGCAACTTCCAAGAAAGTTTTCTACATTTTTGCATTTTCTGCAGCATTTTCAGGCACCATGTGTTTGATCTTGCTTTTTTATTATGTTTTTTCATCTTTAAATTAAGATTATGATCATTCCA